ACGGGTGTTTTCTCTTTGACCTTCTAAGATTCTGAATGGAATCTCCCCCTTGCCCCACACACAAAAGTAAATGTCTCACCCGCCCCCACTTCCTCACACAATAGGAGAAAAAAAAAAAAAAAAGAAACGTAAAACCCACCTCATGATGGTGTACTCTAATGTATAGTGAGTTGGTACGATGGAATGGTTTTTTAATTTCCATGATAAAAATAAGTGGAAATTTCGTAGAGTCATCTTTAAAATACAAGGTTCATTTGAAAAATCTAAAGAAAACAGGGGATAAAAACACACAGGCTATTTGGAACCTAACATTATATTCTGGTCATTGCTGAAGCTGACCCTTGGGATCTGGAGCCTACCCTTCCATCAGAGTTGCGCTCCAAGGATCCCAGGAGTCCTGGAAACACAGGAAAGTCCAACTGGATATGGGAAATGAACTAATAAAATTAACTATGGAAAAACATTTTATCAGAGGAAGTAAGACTAGGAAACAGGAAATTAGCACTTTGTAAACAGAATTTGGACAGAAGGGCTCATCCAATTATCTTTGACTCTCAGTGGAGCAAATAATTAATGTCATTCTTGGGTATATGGAATTTTCCTCCTCCCCACGACTCTCCCCCCTCCCCTCCCCAGCCCACTCCCATTGAGTTTTCTCAACTCAACTCCCAACTTCTCAATGAAGTTCTCCTTTAGCAGCTCAGCAACTGCAAAGTTTCTATCTTCTGAATTCCTCACTGCAGAAGGGAGGAGTGTAGGGTAGGTGCACTTTATAGGCATGTAATCGCCACAATAATGCCAAGGTGGGTAGTGTGTTGCAGACCTGTTTTACAAACTATGAGACTGAATGTTTTGAAAGTGGGACACAGAAGAAGCAAATCAGACTCCAACACTACACTTGTCAAATATAACCATATATGGTTAAGTTGTCATGATCATCTATGCTTTCTTTCTTCCTGTGGTTAGGACCTGGGCTTTTGCTTCCTGGTTGCCAATTTGTTAATTGTCCAATGCTCTGTACCATGCCAAACATGTATTTAGTTTTTAGTTAAGCTTTAATATAAAAATATCATTTTCCTTTATCTGGTATTAATAAGAAAAAGAATACAAATGAAAGAGAAATTATTTCTGGATCATTTTTTGTTTGGCATAGTCTGTGTCTCTTCATTCTATTAGTGAGAATATCGAGCTCAATATTCTTTAATGGAGTTGTAAAGTTATTTCTAGTAATAATTACTCACAATTATAGAAGGTATTTGTGAAAACAACAGTTGGCCAATTTGAGCTCCTTTGACAAAGAAAGTATTGGAGGAAAAGATTGCAATAAAAGAGGCAACAGATATGGGATCAGAAATAAAATTTCCTATTTTTCAGACTTTAACCCTTTTACCAAATTTAGTCAAACCAAGAAAATCTCTTACCAAGCAAAGCAAGTGAAGTACCAAATGCAAGGCTGATGTACACTGGAAAGATGAAAAACATGTTAGAAAAGCAACAACATTTTCTCTGGACTCAATTTACAATGATTAAATCTGGGACGCTTTTAAACAGATGTATTAATATTGGATTGAGACTTTCTTGCACTAAAATAATGATGAAGTAAATGGTTCTTAGTAGTCAACACTGGTAGTACCACCAGCACATGGCCCAAAGATTGTGATCTGAGTAGATGCAAGTTGGGATCCTTTTGGGAGCTAGCACTAGTAATAGGGGTTAGGCTAGTTGACAGGCTGTTCCAAGAAGCAGTGATTGCTCTGGGAAAATTCTCAGAATATGAATAAGCATATTTATAATTAATAAACATTAAAAGCCTTCTGTGGAATCCTTGTGTGATCCCATGGGCTAATACACTGGACTGGAAGATAAGCCTCCTGGGTTAGGGAAGGCATTCAAAATACACAGTGGCTACACCAATGACCACCACTCATCTGTCTGTTGTACTGTGGTGGCTTACGTGTTGGTGATGGGATTGTTGTTGTTGTGAAGTGCCGTTGAGTTGGTTCCGACCTATAGCGACCCTGTACAGGGTTTGCGAGGAGCAGCTGGCGAGCTTGAACCACTGACCTTGCAGTTCAAACGGTTTTGCAGTCTGGTGCATTAACCCACAGCGCCACCCCAGGACTCCGGTGATGGGATTAGGTGGTAGCATAGTGGTTACGAATCAGCTGCTAACCTCAAGGTCAGCAGTTTGAAACTACCAATGGTTCCACAGGAGAAAGAGGAGGGTTCTGTTCCCGTAAAGATTTACAGCCTCAGAAAGCCCTGTACAGGGTCGCTATGAGTCGGAGCTGACTCCACAGTATATAACAACAACAACTACCTCTTGGTGTGGGTGCAGATACACGGGGACATTTGCTATCTGGCTGTTACAATGACAGGGGAGGGAGGTGACTGGTATTTAGCAGACAGAGGCCAAGGATGCTATACATCGTAGAGAATTGTCCCACCCAATATATCCATGGACCCCCTACTGATAAATCATGTAACAGATTGATACTGAAAAGTAACCAGAAGGTCAAGAAAAAGGAAGAATGAACAGGACTATTAAACAAAAGAAGAAAAAGACAATACATGAAATTCTCAAACCAAACAAAGTTCAGCATTGATTTCCTAGTATAGTGGATGTGGTAGGAGAGAAGGGATTTATCCTCTTCCCAAATACAGGATTAGGGTAATATACTCCTCTCAGGATTAGAGTAAGGGTGCTTTTGTTGCTGTTAAATGCCATTAAGTTGGTTCTGACCCATAGTGACCTTGTATAGGGTTTCTGAGGCTTTAAATCTTTGCAGAAGCAGAAAGCCTCATCTTTGCCCCTAAAGCGGCTAGTGGGCTCAAGCTACCAATCTTGTAGTTCATAGTCCAATGTTTATCTATACAGCTACCGCACTTCTCTTTTTCTAGATTACTATACTGTAAGCGGCACTGTAAGATAAGCACTGGACTGTGAACTATAAGGTCGATAGTTCAAACTCACAAGCTGCTCCTTAGAAACCCTATACAGGGTCACTATGAGTAGGAACCGACACGGCACAGCAACACTAACAATGAGGTCAAAGTATTTACCCAAGGTGAAAGCAAATCTGTACGTTGCTACTTAGTGATCGTGGGCAGAGGGCAGTAAAAAACACTAATGACTAAAAAAAGCAGATGATTCTAAAATTTCAGATCACCAATTAACAACCTGCCAAAAGATAATTTTTACTACTCTTTTTCAGCTTATAGGTCTTTGATTTTAATTTTACCATTCTTATCTAAAAAGATGAGGCGTTCTGCTCCTGTAAAGATTTACAGCCTCGGAAACCCTGTACAGGGTCGCTATGGGTCGGAACCGACTCGACGGCACTTAACAACAACAACAACATCTAAAAAGTACCCATGGCTATAAAAATCTTATAAAAGAATGAGTCGGAACCGACTCCACAGTACATAACAACAACATACAATATTTATCATTTCCCTTTGGTTGGTACATAGACTTCTCTCTAGAATATGCCTTCATTCCAAGAATGAAGGAAGTAAGATACATGATTCTTCAAATTACACATGCGGACATTTCCCATCATGACTAACCTTGATAATGGTTGTGTACCATTGACCAGTCCTGACTCATAGTGACCCTGGATAGGGTTTCTGGGGCTATAAATCTTTCAGAGCAGAAAGTCTCTTCTTTCTCCCGAGGAGCAGCTGGTAATTTTGAACTGCTGACCTTGTGGTTAGCAGCTCGTTACCCACTACAATACCAGAGCTCCTCTGACTAAGCCTTAAGTCATTCTTATTTATGTTTGTTTTCCTAAAATTAACCATAAAGCAGAAACTCGTTTTGAATGCAGATTATCAGCACAGGCTTCCTATTTAGTTTCCATCTTAACAGCTCACGTTAAGTAGACTGTAAAATGGCATTTAGACAGGGAGCTCAGCGTGCTGCTCCCGAGTAAGCTTTATGGAATGAGGGCTGAGAACAAGCTTGTTCCTATAAACCTAACAAACCAAATTGACTGCCTTCTAGTGGATTCAAATTCATAGTGAAACTACAGGACACAGGGAAACGGCTCTACCTCATAGGGTTCTCAAGACTGTAACTCTTTACAGGAAGAAGCAACCTCAGCTTTCTCCCACAGAGCAGCTGGTGGATTTGAACCTCCAGTCTGAAGGTTAGCAGCTCAATGCTTAACCCATCCCTCCAAAGTACTGGTGTGGCAATGTGGGTTAATGCAGTGGACTGCAAAGTCGCTTTGAACAGCAAGGTTGGTGGTTCAAGCTCACCAGCTGCTCCTAAGAAACCCTATACATACATGGTTGCTATGGGTCAGAATCAACTCAACAGCACTTAACAACACCAAACAGAGCTAGGACAAAAAGCAGCACTTACCCCACGGATACAAATTCAGAAGTCTGATTGCCGAGGCGTTCTGGCTGAAAACCATGATTGTTATTTTTTAAGTCCTTGCTTCATTTACTGTCACATCTTAAAGAAAAACAGAAACCAAGAAAATTCAGATGTCTAATATTCTGAAGTGTCTAATTAAATTGCAAAGATTTTTTAAAAAGGGGCAAATTTAAAAAAAAAGTTTATTAAAGACTAGCAAAACATAGCAAAATTCTTTTGAAGAGTAGTCTTACCTCAGCCTTAGGGGCTAATCAAACCCTTTCTGAGAAAGTTTCAATATAACTTTCTGCACAGATTTTAAACATATAAAAAGTATACAGTGTCACTTCCTTTAGAAAAGTCTCACTTCCTTTAAACACTGATGTTCACTGTTTTTGTGTGTGAATTTTTTAGAATGCCTTTATGTCTAAGCAAAAACAAACGTATACTCTTATTGTTCCTACTCCCCCACCTCTAGAACGAGGGGAGTAAGATAGAATTCCCACTGAGTAGTTTTCCTCTTGTCCAGCTGGGTCTGGCGATGACGGAGGGGTATAGGATTTTATGTTTCAATTGTGAGTAACTGTTATCAGGTCTAATGGTGATTGTCACAACTGTAAATGTAGAAGAGGTGTAACTAAAAGGGTGGAGCAGTTAATCTGTCATTTCAGGAACAGAGGATCCTAGGACCATCAAGAGGGAAGAACATGAGAGGAGTGAAGGATCCTAACTAGAAAAGCAGCGACAACAGAGATGGTGGCAGAGACGATGGCATAAAGACAGAGCAGCATAGGACTATAGACCCACGGACTGAGAAAGGCATTGTGCTTGTGGGCAGGAGGCTGGCTTGCAAAACATGTCCTTTGGACATTTAAACAAATATATATTTTCAATGTAGTATGCATACATCATAGAAAAAAAAAAAAAGAAAAGGTAATAGAGGTAAAAATACTGTTAACTTATGGTACATGGAGGGGATTGTAATCATTGCAGTGATTTGAATGTAAAACTGATGATCTGCCCTGTAAACCTTCACTCACTCAATTCACAAAAAAAGCTTTTTCTAAAAAAAAGAACCCATATAGGGTTTCTGAGCCTGTAAATGTTTTTTTTTTTTTTTTGGTGTGTGTGTGTCTGTGTGTATTCACCTGAATATTCAGGGAACTTTCACCTATTTTATTTCGTTTTCAGTTTTTTTCAAATTCCAACCAGAAGTTAAATACAATTAGAAGTGCAGCTAGAGTGCTCCTTAGAGGCCAAGATGGCCAAACTTTGTCTCTCATACTTTGGACATATTGTCAGGACGGAGCAGTTGCTGGAGAAAGATATCATGTTAGGTAAGGTGGAGGGTCAGAGAAAAAGCAGAAGACCCCCAAATAAATGGATAGGCCAACTGGCAGTATCAATGGCAACAGTAGTGAGGTTGGCCCAGGATCGGGCAGTGTTTCATTCTGCTGTGCATAAGGTCACTGTGAGTCTATACTGATTCGATGGCACCTAACAACAACAACAAAGCACTAGTGATATTCCAAAGGAATAGGATCATTCAGATTTACTCCAATAAGTATGCAATCCTTAAGCAAAGCTTTTCTTCATTTAAAAGAAAAAACAAAATGCAAAAACTATACCATAGTCTTTCCTTATGTTCATTGCACAAAATGAGTTCTGCTTTATTACACTCAATTAAAAAAACAAAAAACAAAGCAAGACAAAACAGAAACAAAATTTAAGATCCCAACTTTCATAAAACCTTTTTACACTCCCAGAAAAGCCCTCATCCCAGAAAAGCCTCATTTCTTTAACATGGTGTAGAAACCAGTATTTGTGCACAATTCACTATATTTTGTTTTCTTTGTAATAAAATCTCTTGTCTTTAAAACCACAAAACAAAACAAATACCAAAAAAGAAAATCTTTTATCATTGTTTCTGCAGCTATAGAGGTGTTTTCACTTACCTGCTTCAGACTCCAGATCTGGTTTAATGTGTATAACTGTATCTACACTCAGTAGAATACTCTTATAACAGGAACTTGGGGGAAAAGTGCTAGAAAAACAACAACAATAACAAAACTACATATGAATACTAGGAAACAAATATGGTCCAGTAAAATATGAGGCAGAATGCCTACAATGAGATGCTTTTTAAATTTTAAGATTTCTTTTCCGGCGTTGTCTTTTTTTTTACATTAAAAAAAACAAAACAAATCAACCACCTCTGGTCATTAGAATGAACTGACAGTGCTCTGGTACAACGGTGACTATAGCAAAGCTATTAAGATTGAAAAAAAAAATGTTATTTATACCGGCTACATTCACTTCTCATCCTCTAAATACTGATAACAGATGTCAATGACCCAAAAACCAGCCTAAGTGGGAAAACCATCTGAGTATCACCTGGTACTTTCAGCTGCATTCAGCATTTCAGTGTACAATAGTTCTTGCACGTCACATTTTTAGTAAGATGCTAATGCTGTGTGTGTAGCAAGTATGCAAAGCATGTGCTTTCACATGGTCCTTGCAGAAGACAGCTAATTTTTTTTTTTTTTTTAAAGTTCTGAGACACAAATGATTTAAAAAATCCAGAACGAACAAGTTTCAAAATGTATAGTGTTCCATGCATGAGTCCATTTCCCTTAAAGTCTGAAGGAATAAAGTGGTAAGAAAACAAGGAAAGCATTGTTGCTGTATTCTCCAATCTTTCCCACTGTGCTGGTCAGTGCTCTACTCTGGCATATACGGACAGGATGGAGGTGATCCTCTACGATGCCAACTGTCCAGTGGCTGAGTTGCTCCTGAGGCAGGTAGGGGCAAATGCTGCATAACTTGAAGATTGTAGCTTTGTTTTTTGGAGCCTCCAAGTGCTGTCTGTCAATGAAGAGAAAGACTGACTGGTTAGGATTGCTGACAACAATTCCAGTCTTGTCCTTGCAGCTCACAGTACATGCAGAAACTTTCTCAGAGTCACCGTGATGAAACTCAAATTTGGCCTGAAAAGGCCTAAAAGGCTTATCCGATTCCTTCCACCTAGAAAACAGGAGACAGACAATTTTTTCAATGTCATTCCATGGTTGAAGAGTGAAATCCATCTTCTCAGTACAGCCAATAACATCCCTTCTCCTGGTATCGAGGAGCATGGAGCTGTACCACATCCTTCTGTGAAAGCGCTATGGAACTTTCTAAGGAATCACTGGAATTTCGCACACTTTTCAGAATATTTTCTTCATAATTATTTGTCATGGCTGGTATAACTTCATATACTTCAAAAAGTGCTGATTTTTTTTCTTCTCCTTGAACACAAAGGCAATATACATCATGAAGTCAAACTGGTCAGCTAGAGATTCTTTTTCCTTCCTAAGCTGAGCACGTAGTCTGTTCAGAGCGTGTTTCTTCCAAGAGTTTGGGTGCCCCATTTTAAAATACAAGTGGAATTAAAACCTTTGGAAAGTGTTATTAAACGATGGCACTTTTTCTTAACACTCAAATACAACAGAAACAAGTCATTTTCCCCCCCCTACTAATATGGTGCTCCGCGGGAGAAAGATGAGGCTTTCTACTCCCGTAAGGATTTACACCCTCGGAAACCCTGTACAGGGTCGCTATGGGTCGGAACCGACTCG